ATAAATGGGATTATTTTCTTAGTTTCCTTTTAGGAGAGTTCCTTGTTAGTGCATAAAAACACAACTGACTTTTCAGTGTTGATTTTATATCCTGCAACGTTGTTGAATTCATTCATTATTCCGACTATTTTTTGTGGAATCTTTAGGGTTTTCTGCATACAAGATCATGTCATCTGTGAACAGAGATAATTTTGGCTTTTTCTTTTCCAATTTGTATGCTTTTTGTTTGTTTATTTTTTGCTTAGTTGCTCTGGCTACAGCTTCCAGTACTATGTTGAATAGAAGTGGCAATAGTGGGCATCCTTGCTTTGTTCCTGATCTTAGAGGAAAAGCTTTCAATTTTTCACTATTGAGTATGATGTTAGTTGTGGCCTTTTCATGTATGACATTTATTTTTTTTTATTTTTATTTTTTTTTTTTTTAAGATTTTATTTATTTTTTTGAGAGAGAGCACATGAGAGGGGGGAGGGTCGGAGGGAGAAGCAGACTCCCCGCAGAGCAGGGAGCCCGATGCGGGACTCGATCCAGGGACTCCAGGATCATGACCTGAGCCGAAGGCAGTCGCTTAACCAACTGAGCCACCCAGGCGCCCGCCATGTATGACATTTATTATGTTGAGGTAAATTTTATCCTATTCTTAGTCTGTTGAATGTTTTTATTGTGAAAGTGTATTGAGTTTTGTCAAATACTTTTTCTTCATCAGTTGAGAGGATGATGTGATTTTTGTCCTCTATGTTGATTGATTTTGAACCATCCTTGCATCCTAGGGATAAATTATACTTGGTCATGGGTTTAATTTTTTCTAATGTCCTGCTGAATTCAGTTTAAAAGTACTTTGTTGAGGATATTTGCATCAATATTCATCAGGGATATTGGTCTGTAGTTTTTTGTAATATCTTTGTCTGGCTTTGGTATCAGAGTAATGTTGGCTTCATACAATGAGTTTGGGAGTGTTCCCTACTCTTCATTTTTTGGGAACAGTTTGAGAAGGATTAGCATCAATTCTTTTTTAAATGTTTGATAGAATTCTCCAGTGATGCTATGTGGGCCTGGGTTTTTCTTTGTTGGGAGGTTTTTGATTACTGATTCAATCTCCTTATTATATATCTATTTACATTTTCTATTTCTACATGATTCAGTCTTGGGAGGTTGTATGTGTCTGGGAATTTATCCTGTCTTCTAGTTTATCTAATTTATAAGTGTACAATGGTTAATAGCAGTCTGTTATAATTCTTTTTTCCTTGATATCCTTTTTGAAAATTAATTTCTAAGTTAATAATAATTTGTGAATTTTAGAAAAATATTGGTGGGGCACCTGGGTGGCTCAGCTGGTTGGGCATCTGACTCTTGATTTTGGTTCAGGTCATGATCTCAGGGTCATGAGATTGAGCCCCACGTTGGGCTCTGCACTCAGCTTGGAGTCTGCTTGTCTCTCCTCTGCGCCTCCCCCTGCTCTCTCTCTCTCAAATAAATAAATAAGATCTTAAAAAATAAAAATAAAAATATTGGTAATCCCCCGCAATGCAAGAGTGTTTTTGTCACTTTTGTATATTCTATCAATTTATATATATAATCTATATTTTACATAAAATATATAAAAGTATTTTTTTTAATTTAATTTAATTTTATTTTTGTGCCTATCCAGTGGAGTCTATGTCCCCTCTCCCTGAAGCTGATTGGGCCTCTGTGACTGCCTTGACCAGTAGAATAGGGCTGAAGTGATGATGTGTGACTTTTGAGGTCTGTCACAAGATGTCTTGCACTTCTCCTTTGTTCTTTTTCGTTGCTCATTCTTAAAACTTGGGTACTTTGGTGTCAGACTAAATCTGAGGAGAAGCTTGGTGAAGAATTGAGGCCCCTAGCCCACAGCCCTGGCTGAGCTCATATAGTCAGCATCAGCTTACAAGCCAGTGAATGAGCCATCTTTATTTTATTTTATTTTTTAAAAGATTTTATTTATTTGTCAGAGAGAGTGCGCGAGCACAGAAGCAGGGAGAGCGACAGGCAGAGGGAGAAGCATGCTCCCTGTGGAGCAAGGAGCCTGATGCAGGACTTGATCCCAGGACCCTGGGATCATGACCTGAGCCGAAGGCAGATGCTTAACCAACTGAGCCACCCAGGCGTCCCGAATGAGCCATCTTTAAAGCAGACCTTCTGCCTCCTGTCCAGAGGCCCTCCTAATGCTATGTGGATCAGAGATGAACTTGCAGATATACAAACAAAATGAGTGATTCTTGTTATTTTAAGCCATCAGGTTTTGGAGTACTTTGCTACACACACAATGATAGATGCTTAGAAAACACCCTTCAAGTGGTCTCATCTGTTTCTATGGCATTAACTACACTGATTCTCAGATCTGAACTTTCAGGTCAAATTTTTCTTTGGACTTCCTAACCCATATATCTAACTACTAATTAGATGTATTTCTTGTATCTCTAACTACTAATTAGGTGTATCTCTCCTTAAGCTCAATATGTCCAACATCAGTGTGTTGTCCTTCTCCACCATCTGTTCTTTCTCCATTATCTTGGTTAATTTACTATCCAGTCATTCATAGCAGAAACCTGGGAAATCACTCTCAATTCCTGCATCTCCCCGCATCTAATTTTACATCTTAAATATCTTTTGAATTCTTCGTTCTAACAGCCGATGCCTTAATCGAGGTTTTCACCATCTTTCATGTTCTATTTTAGTAATAGTAACTGATCTGGTCTCTATCCTCCCCCTCCCCTTTTTTTTTTCACTCCCTTGAAATTCATACTTGCCATTGCTGGCAGAATAATATTTTTAAACACACATGTTATAATATTTCTTACAATTTCTAAATGGTTTCAATTCATTTACAGAAGAAAGCCCCACTTTCTTAGGAGGAAATAAAAGTTTTTAATGATTTGGTTCCTTGCCAGATCTCCATCCTTATTGCTTATTCCTCGTTTTCACTTTTTAATGCTGAATTACTGATTGTTCTCCCAATACACAAAGAAGGAACCAGGTTTTTCTGTTCCTTCAGGCTGTTCTACCCATTCAAGCTTTGGTATAATTCAGTTTGATGTGGTTGTAGGACTGAGGTCTCCACTTTCTTGCTGCTCATTGGCTGGTGTTGCTCTTAGCTCGTACAGGCTATTCTCAGGTCCTAGCCATACGGCCTTCTCCAAAAATTGCAGCTTCCTCCTTCAGAGCCAGCAGGACAATCTCACTGCGTTGTGCTGACAGCCTTCTATAACGTAACCTAATCAAGGGAATGGCTCTCCTAGGGACTGGTATTATACAAGATTTGTGCACCAGAAATCTTGGGGCCCATTTTGGAATTCGGCCTACCATGGGTAAATATCAATTTTTCTCTAGAAGCTTTGAGGATTAACAAAAATTCTCAATAATTGCAAAGCTTGCAAGAAAGCATCTTCCTGTGTATCTACTTTTATCCACTATTTGGTTACTCAGTGGCTCTTTCAGTCTGGCAATTCATGTTCCTTCAGTCATGAGAAACTTCTGTGTTTATTTCAGTGATGATTCTTCCTTCTCTCCCTTCTCTCCCTTCTCTCTTTCTGGGACTCCCTAGTTGGACATTGGACCTCTTGAACCTGTCCTTCACCTTTATTACATTTTCTCCTATTTTCTGTCTTTTGCTGTACGTACTTTCTGGCAGATGTGTTCAATTTTAATTTTTATTTCTTTATGGATGCAGTATCTTCCCATCACCTGGAGCTTATCGGTGGTGATTTTCTGAATCTGCTTCCTGAATAGTCTTTGTTTTCTCCATGTTATCTGTTTTTCTGTTTTTTCTGGTCTCTATCTTTTATGTTAGAGGCTTCCCTCAGGTCCATGTTACTCCTTGGATATCTGTTTGTGATTTAGAATATGAACCTAAAAAGCTGATTGGAAATTCTGGGACTGTAGATGAGACTTGTTAATTCTGAGCTCTATAGGGGATTGGACCTGGGCTGCTTTTTGGTGAACCCTAATGTCAGTATCCTCAGGCTTTTTCTTGGGCTTATGGTTCTCAGAAAAGGATCTTCCCTTCTTCTGCCCAGAGGACAGAAGTCTGGCTGCCTTTATTCTGGGAACTGAGTGGGTAGGGAGTTGGGGGTGTCTTAGCATTTGGTTACTTAATCCCCCCACTTTTGGCATGGTATTCACACTCTGAGATTTTTCTGAAGTCCCCCCCAGATTTCTTCTGGTGTGAGGGAGGAACAGTTGCCTAAACTCATGGAGTCGGGAGGAGAATCTCAGGATCTAACTCCTCCAAAGCTTTTTTACCTATTCCTCATTTCAGAGCCTTCCTGCCGCTGCCCTCCAGTGTTTCTCTCCTGGTTCCAGAGATACCAGGCACGGACAGGTCCTGAGCAATTTTAGGGATGCTGCAGTTAAAATTGTTTCTTAGCTTTCTCTCTCATGGCTTATGGTTTTGCTTTGTTAGATTCTCCTAAGTCAGTTATTATTCTGTTCTTCAGCTTCCAAAAAAATGTTTGCCTTTTCTCTTTTCCTTTCTTCACATACGTATGTTTATCTCCTTAAAAAAAATCTTCCTGCTATAGTTTTCCTGGGATTTCTGGAGGGAATAAAATTAGATGTATATATTCAAACTGCTGTCCTAACTCAGATGTTCCTCATTGTTTTGTAATGTGTCGTTAAATTCTTATACAAAAGAATTTATTCCTGTTATTCTATTTCATTTGAAATATCTCTTTATCAGTACCACACTGTTTTATTAATTGTTTTTTTTAAAATTTCTTTATAATATGCTTATTCCTTGTGGTTGTAATTTCATGTTTAACTCCTTGTAAATGTGTTAGTTTTATAATGCTAAAACTATATAGGTACATCGGGAGGATTAACCTTAGGAAATAATGAGGTCATTTCTGTTAATATTGGATTTATTTCAACAGACTTGTATTTTTTTTTAACTCATGACTTTATTAATAAGAATTAGAGTTTAAATCCAAATGTTGGAACCCTATTCTCACACAGTGAAGACCTTTTGTTCTTTTTTTAAAATGAAGACTGAAGTTGCTGAAGACCCTCAACAGGTTTCAACTGTTCATCTCCAACTAGGATTACCACTGGTTTTTATTGTTAGTCAGCAAGCGACGTATGAAGCTGATAGAAGGACTGCAGAATGGGTCGCTTGGCGTCTTCTGGGGAAAGCAGGAGTTCTACTCTTGTTAAGGTATCTTAAACATTAAATATTCACTGTATTTAGCAAAACACTAGAGTTTTTCTCTTTTTAAAATATGGTAATATATTCACTTGTAAATAAACTTAGATCTCTAGTAAATTCTAGTATTAGTAAATTCTAATAAATTTACTCTAGTAAATTCTAATAGAACCAGTTGCTAAGCTAAAGTCTGTACATTAATTATTAACTTGATTAAAATTTAGACCTTTAAACTTTGCTAAATGAAGATGAAGATAGAGACTGGAACATCTAGTCTGTATTTATGTCTAAAATTTCTCAGACTTACTAAATTGTAATCTTTTTTCATAAATTGTTTTTATGTAAGAACTTATAGTTTTTAGTGTAAGAACTTAAAGTTCGCTTTTATGTTGACATCCTGGATGACTGTTCTTCAGATTAGCCATATAAAACATTTATTTCCATTTTGAAAAAGGGACTCATTGGAAGTAGACATTCCTCTGCATGCTAACGTGGTCTTCAGAAGAGCAGAAGAGGTTAGTCATTTTATGTATTGCTCTACAATGTCTGCTTATTTAAAGAAAGTTAATACGTGTGGTCATAAAATAATATATGCTTATTACAGAAAAGAAATTCTGTAAATTGCCACTAGTCAGAGATTATTGCTGTTAATATTTTGGTGTTCTTTTTTTTCTTTTTCCATTTGTTAGTTTGTCTCTTTTCTCATGTTCATATATATATATTTTAAAGAAAATTAGGGTCATGCTATATAGCCTACTTTTCATGTAAAATTATATTTAATTACTTGCTATTGTGCTATATGATGCCTGCCTTTGTACACTGTTTTGAGTATCACTGGTTCTTTCCTTTGGCTAAACTTCTGGACGTGAAGTTTGTCAAAGGAAATGGGGGTTTTTAAGGCTGTTAGAATATATTGTCAAATTGCCCTCCAGAAACCAGCAAGGTTTGGAATTCCTTGTTGCTCATACATCTTGCCACTACTGAGCATCACTATCTTAAAAAAAAAAAATCTTCTCTATCGACAAAGTTCCTGTTTTAATTTGCATATTTTTGATTACTGGTGAGGTTGAACATTTTTTAAAGGCTTATTTCCCATTTATTTGCCTTTGTAAATTTCTGTTAATGTTCTTTTTTTCTTATATTTTTCTTAAAATTTTTCTTAATTATTGAGAACCCATTAATTCTGCACATTTCAAAATATTATATAAATATGCTAAACGATTGATGTGTTTTTGAACTGCCAGTTTTTTTTTATTATGTTAATCACCATACATTACATCATTAGTTTTTGGTGTAGTGTTCCATGATTCATTGTTTGCATATGACACCCAGTGCTCCATTCAGTATGTGCCCTCTTTAATACCCATCACTGGGCTAACCCATTCCCCCACTCCCCTCCCCTCTAGAACCCTCAGTTTGTTTCTTGGCGTCCATAGTCTCTCATGGTTTGAACTGCCAGTTTTTAAAAACATTTTTTTAAATTTACCTAAGTGATCTCTGCACCCAACATGGGGCTCAAACTCATGATCCTGAGATCAAGAATTGGGTGCTCTACTGACTGAGCCAGCCGGGGGCCCCTGAACTGCCAGATAATTTAAACTTAAATTCTCTTGCCTAGGACTATGGCATGAATACTGGGTCAAAGGTCAGAAGACTTGGATTCTGTTTCTTCTGGTTCTGGAACCAGATTAATGAATTAGCTTCTCCAAGCTCAGTTTTCTCATTTGTGAACTATTCATAAAACCTTCCCTTCTAACTTACAAGAAATTTATAAGACAAAATAGGAAAATACTTTGAAAACTGTAGTATTGTTGAAATGTGTATACTATAGTATGGGGCTAGTATGCTCTGCTTTTTGGCTAGGTCATGGAAGGAGTACTTTCTGAAGCTCTTCTTTTTGCTGGTAGATCAAGATCCCTAAATAAGAAATTATAATATTTATTATTGGGAAATAGGTTTTATGGAAAAATTAAAGTTCATGATGGTTTTTGAGTTTTGATGTCTTAAATTGTTAAAATGTAACAATTTTGTATAGCATGAGGTAAGAGAGGTTATAAGATAGCTATCTCTGCAAAGAAATTTTCTGTAAAGGATAGAAGAGTCTTTTCTATGAGTCTCTGTATTGAATTCAGTGTAAATTTTTTTTTTTTTTTTTACCTTCTCATCAGGGCAATAATGTTCATCCTGGGTTTGTATAATCATTCTTTCTCTCTCCCTTTCCAGGCAAAGGGTTTGAGGGTCCTTAAAGTATAGAACTGCTTAGATAGTATTGTATGCTCATATTACTATATTACAAGCCTTGTATAGTAAGTTATAAAACATATCTTTTAGTATTGCATTAGTTCTTCAGAATTTTTTTTCCTACGGCAGTAATTAGCAATATAGTATTAAGAGTTTATGCTATAGAATCTTACTGCCTAGTTCAAATCCAACTTTGTAACTCTGGGCAAATTACTTCTATATGTCTCTCTCTTTTTTTTTTTTTTTCATTGTAAAGGAGGGTTAATAATAATATCTACTTTAAAGAGTTGTTGGGTCAGTATATTAAAAGAAATAATGTAAAGTGCTAAATTAGCACAGGGTCCAATACATTCGTAAGTGCTCAATAAATACTATACTCATCCATTCATTCTTTCCATAAGTATTTATTGTATACCTGCTTTGTTTCAGGCACAGTCCTAGGCTCTGAGGATATGGCAGTGAACAAAAGCAAGTTTTTGCCCTCATGGAGCTAATATACTAGTGGCAGGAGACAAATACAAAACCAGTATAGCTAGAATGTCAGATGGTGTTAAGGACAGTGGAAAAAAAAACAAGGTAAGGTGAGAGAGTAGTTTCGGAAGATCTCACTGATTAGTAACAATAAAGTAAAGGAATATGCCTGTGGATATGTGGGGAAAGAGTGATGAGTGTGAGAGGACGCACATGCAGAAGCCCTGAGGGGAAGAATTGTTTGTGTTTTAGCATAGTAGTATGAGGAACAGTATTAATGCTTAGGATCTTTCTTAGTATCTAAGTTTTTTTTTTTTTTTAAAGATTTTTTTATTTATTTGACAGAGAGAGACACAGCGAGAGAGGGAACACAAGCAGGGGAGTGGGAGAGGGGGAAGCAGGCTTCCCGCTGAGCAGGGAGCCCGATGTGGGGCTCGATCCCAGGACCCTGGGATCATGACCTGAGCCAAAGGCAGACGCTTAATGACTGAGCCACCCAGGTGCCCCAGTATCTAAGTTTTTAAAAGCCCTTTTTAATTCCTTTCTTCAGAGTTTTTTTTTTTTTTGTATGAAATCAAACAAACTGAAAAGTTGAAAAATAGAATGAATAACTATATACTTACTACCTAGATTCAACAATTAGTATTTTATCATATTTGCTTCACCTATAATTTTTTTCTAAAACACTCCAAAGAATGTTAGATATCATGGCATTTACAGATTCATAAATATCCAGCATGAATCTTTAAAAATTACTGTTCTTCTTCTTTATACAATCATAATTTTATTATCACACTTAACAAAATTAACAGGAATTTGTTTTATCATAGCCTAATCTCATAGCCAGTTCATATTCAAATTTTTTCATCTAAAAGTATTTTCTATAGGTGTTTTTTGTGAACCAAAATTTAGTTAAGGATTACGAATTGCATTTGGTGTGTTTCTTAAATGTCTCAATGTCTTAACACTCCCTCTTCTTCTCCCCCATGATGGTGCCTTTTAGATAAATGGGCCAGGTTTTCCATATTCTGGATTTGTCTGTTTCCTTTTGCTTTTGTCTGCCTTGCTCCTCTGTTCCCTTATGTTTTCTAAAAACTGGAAGTTAGATTGCCTAGCTCCATTAAATGTTTTGGGTAAGAATACTTCACAGTGCTGGCTTACTGGTATTTTATCTTATTCTAACGTGGATGATGTCTGGTTTTCTCACTTAATGATGCCACATTTGATTACTGAATTAATGTGGAGACAGTTAATTCTCTCCATCATAAGATACATTTCCCTTATCCAATTAGCAGATAAACTGTAGGTAGAAATGCAAATAAAACCACAAGACATACCAGTACTCACCCCCTGAATGGCTAAAAATTTAAGAAGTAACAATTCCAAGTGTTTTTAAGAAGGTAGAGTTACAAGAACTTTTGGTAGGAGTGAAAATTAGTACAATGAAAATTGGAAAAATATTTGGCAGTGCTTCCTGAAGCTGAGGCTATATATATATCATGTGAACCAGCAATTTCATTCCTAAGCACTGCCCAACAGAAATGTGTATACACGTGCACTAAAAGACAGCTGTAGTAATGTTCATAGCAGTTAGTATACTTTTATATGGTCTGAAGCTGGAAATAACACGTCCATGAGCAATAGAATGGATAAACACATACGTACATATATATGGTACATACTAGTACATTCATATAAGGAATACATCTTTGAAAAAGGATAAACTGCTTTTAAATGTAACATGGATAAACCTCACAAATAGTGTTGATCAAAAGAAGTGGTCACAAAAAGAGTACAGGGCGTATATAGTTCTATTATATAAATTCAAAAACTGGCAAAATTTATAGATGGTGATGAAAGTCAGAATAGTGATTACCTTTGGGGGGGAGGGTAATGACAGGAAGCGGCAAGAAGATGGCCTCTCGGTGTGCTGGTAATGTTCTGTATCTTAACCTGTGTGGTGGTTATATAAGTGTATCAGCTCTGTAAAAATTCATCAAACTATACACTTACAATTTGTGTTCTTTCCTGTGTGGATGTTGTATTTGAATAAAAAAGTTTACTACCACAATATCTATGTATACTTCAAACAAATTTGGTTTGACTTTAATCACTCTACCTTTTAACTCCGTTATTATTTCCACAGAAGTAAAAAGTTGCTCACTTTGAATGTAATATTAAAAAGATAAATATGTGATATCAAAGAACAAACACACAGTTATTTTATAGCTTTATTCTCATGTATAGTTACAGTCAGGAATGATTTACTGAAATAATCTAGTGGCCTAAAATTTCATGTTTTTAAGATGTGATAGTTGGGTATTAGTAAAAGAAATTATAATGGAATAATCTCCGTGGGCTAGATTTGGTATTCTTAAAATACCTGGGGGCAGATTGTAGTTTTATTTTAGTGGAATTATTGTAGGATGAGATATTATTTTGAATATTTCTGTGGAATATCAAAATAATTTTGATGGCCCTATTTGCAATTAAGTTTTATATTGAAGTGGGACATGCAGTTATGTGTGAAATGTTGCAGACGTCAGTGTAATACCATTATGTCAAGGAAGTGAGACTTTCAGTTCTTTTTTGCCTTTTTTTTTTTTCATTAGTACACACTATTTTATATAAAGTATGCTTTGGGTACTTTTCATAATGATTATGGAATTTCCTTTTTTTGTTTAATTTTAAAACTGAAGTTCAAAGATTTAGTTTCATTTTAATATCAAACAAGTAAAACATTTTTATTAAAATGCTTTGGTATTGGGGCGCCTGGGTGGCTCGGTTAAGCGACTGCCTTCGGCTCAGGTCATGATCCTGGAGTCCCTGGATCGAGTCCCACATCGGGTTCCCTGCTCAGCAGGGAGTCTGCTTCTCCCTCTGACCCTCCCCCATCTCATGTGCTCTCTCTCATTCTCTCTCTCTCAAATAAATAAAATCTTTAAAAAAAAAAATGCTTTGGTATATTTTTAGTCATGATTTTAAAAATGAATGTATTTCTAGGGAGTGCCAGTGGAATTTTTGGTCTTACATGATATTGATTTAATAATATCCCGTGTGGAAAGTAATATGCACATTGAAGAAATACAAGAAGACGGAGATGAGGACATGGGAAGTCCAGATATGGGTAATACGTTTTGTGATGCTCCTTTCCCCTCCACCCTCCATTCCTCCTCGGCACCCAGGAGGTCAGTGAAATTTCAATGAATTAACTTTCTCATAGAATGTTTTGACATTCAAGACTATGAAAATACCTGGAGAAACCTATTTTGAATGACATTTTATCAAGTTGATTTGGTGGGAAAGGTAAGGATGCTGTATTTTGTTGAATGTGATACCTTTCATTGTTACATGCCAGGATGTAGCTTTCCACATCTGTGCCTTTATCTTCTAAATCAGTTCTTTCAGCCCTCCTGGTCTACTCCATGTTTAAAAATGACCCAGGAGCCACAACAGGGTATTTTATTTTTATTCTTCCTATTAGGAAATGAAATCCTAATAAATATTGTTGGATTTGTAGTTGTAAATAAATCTGATGACGGTCTGGGAGTAAATTTCAATAACATTTAAAACCTCTTTTTAACACGTTATATTTCTTTTTATTGTACTTATTGCGTATGTTTTTGAAGTATTCTATAGTTTCAAGGCTATTCTCCTACACATTATTTACTTTGGTTGAGTTAGCTGATGTCACCTTCACTTTGTAGATCAAGAATCTGTGTTTTAGCAGGATTAAGTGATCTACCCAAAGTCAAACAAATGGCATGTGGTAGAGCCTGGACTAGAACTTAAGCATTCTGACTTGAAATCTTATGTATTATCATTATTGTTACTGACACTTCTTCATAACATTAATCCTATCCTGTAACTGCTTACTTGCTTTTCTCTCTTCTCCACTAGTCTATAATATCTCTAAAGCAGGGATTATGTCTTGTTCATTTTTGTATTGCATTTAGTATATACTTGAATGTTTTACCTAGTACTATTATGAGTGTCAAGAAGGGAGTAATTTATGTATTCTTTTTGTGAGGTCCATTCATTATTTTGATCAGAATCTAAATCATAAATTTAATAAGGGCTCTGAGATTTAATGGTTACCAGTGACCAGTTTTTTGGTTTGAGTTATGTTCTAGCTCTTTTCTAATATGCAGAGGTTGGAACTGCTCATGGTTTAAGCCAGAGTTCTCTATAGCATTGTCATTACATAGACCTGTGTTCTGGTCTCTTTCTCCTGGCTCTGTTTTCTATCATGGTTCATAGATTCCCCCTTCCAGTCAAGGGAATCGCCCCTGTGTCAGCTTAGTGAGATTCCTGTTCTCAGTGGGAGTTGTTTGTTTCAAGATTTCCTTGCCACATCCCCTTAATTTGCCCTGTGGTGTGGCCTTCTCTTTCTTCTCTGCCTGTCTTCTCTCCCCAGCCTAGTTCTAGGATTCCTTTTACAGCTTTCCCTTTTGTTTGTTTTGTTGTGGGTTTTTTTTTTTCTGTCTTAACTTTCTACATCTGTAATCCATATTGGCCCATAATAGTGTATGTAGTCATGTCCATATACATAATCCCCCCACCTTGTTTTGTTCCCATTTGTATAGGAAAAATACACGTATAGGAAAGAGTTTGTTACCATGTGAGAGCACCACACAAAGAAAAATGTCCTTCAAAGGAAATGGGCACAGAATGAATCAGAGTAAAATGGACTGAATTCTACAAAAGGACGATATGGAAAAAATATTACACATGTATGGCTTAAAAGAACGTGTGTATATATTGATGAATAGGTGAAAGATAGAGCTAAAGAGTGGATCAATTTAGAAGTGAGGGTAGCTTATTGAGAGAGAGAGAATAGGAAAGAGGGAAAGGAAGTGTTGGAAGAAGAGGACAAGAATGGATTGGGAAATAAAGGATTGGAAGGAAAATGAAAATATGTGAATAAGAAGGAAAAAATACAGTAAATAGGAAAATAGGCCTTTATTAATTTTGGTATTGGAGTTGTAACTTGTTAGTATCATAGAATGTGGTGTTTTAAAGTTCCTTTAAGTTAGTATAGTGCAACTCTTAGGTTTCAGATTTGAACACTGAGGCCCATACAGTTATGTGACCCACTGGAGTCACACAGCTGAAACCTGTGGAGATGCACTGTAATTCAGATCTGGTATTTTATTTTATATATTAGAAATCATATAAAAACAATACTTTCATTTTTAAATTGTCTTCCTCCGTTCCTTTCTTTGTAATGTGTTATTATAAAGAATTAGGAACTTAGCATAAAGTAGACAGGATAATAGAACAAATCTCCTGGTATCCCATTACCTGGCCCCACCCAGCTACCATCAACCCATGGCTATCCTGTTCTAGTCACTGCCCACCCCTTACTATTTTGTTGCAAATCCCAAATATGTAGTTTCATCCAAAAAGATTTCCCTGTGTTTTTCAGAAATATAAGGATTCTCCTTTTAAAATGAACATAATGAGCTCTGGGTGTTTTATGCAACTGGTGAATCACTGAATTCTACCTCTGAAACTAATAATAAAATATATGATAATTAAATTGAATTTAATAAAAAATTTAAAAAATAATAAAAAATAAAAAATAAAATGAGCATAACTGGGGCAGTTAGTTGGGTGACTTAGTCCGTTAAGTGTCCAATTCTTGATTTTGGCTCAGGTCATGATCTCAGGGTCATGAGATCAAGCCCTATGTCGGGCTCCGTGCTGAGCATGAAACCTGTTTGGAATTCTCTCTCCTCCCCCCGGACCCAGGCTTGTGCTTGCTTGCTCGCTCACTCTTTCTCTCTAAAAAACAAAACAACTCCCCCCCCCAAAAAAAACCCAAAAAAACAAAACCAAAAAAACTTCCCCAAACCCCCATAATTATTGCTATTATTACATCTCAAAAACTAACAGTACTCCTAAATATTATCAGTGTTTGCATTTCCATTTGCATGCTCCTTCATGCCACTGTGCCTTTGCACATGCTATTCCCTTTGCTCTGTATGCCTCCACTGCCTTCCTTCACTGCCTACCTAAGTTTCATTTTCTTTTAATATTCAGCTAGTGTGAACTCTTCTAGGAAACTTTGTCTCTCTAATCAAGTCAGATGTCCCTTCAGTGTTACCATATAATCTGTACAAACTTCCAACAGAATATGTACAAGTGCAAAAAAAATTTTTTTTAACCCCATACATGGATGGATGGATGGATAAATGGATTGGTCCACTGGTTGGTTAGTTGGTCTAAGTTAACGATAGGTTTTTACATATTCAGAATCCACATAACTTGATGCACTTAGAATAAAATCTAAAATTCTTGGCTCATATGGCTCTTTATGATCTAGCTATTGCCTAGTCTAGAGTTTTGTCATGCCATTTACTCCTTCATCCCATCTTGTTTTAGCTAAATTTGCCTTCCTTCAGTACGTAGTATATGCTAATCTCTTCTGTGTCTTAGAGCCTTCATATATGTTTTTCTTTTTGCCTAAGACTTTTTTTTTTTTTTTTTAATTTTGGATTCTCTAGCTGGAAGGCTTTGGCTCTCCCAACCTAAATCTACCTATTACAATCTATCATGTACCATTTTCTTTCCTTAAACTGACATAATTTATAACTATGTGTTTATTCAGTGATGAGTTTATTGTCTGACTTTTCTGTAAACAGGAGCTCCATGTGGTCAGGGACTAGTGTCCATCACAGTGGTTGTCATACAGTGGAATTTGTATTTATATAAGTTATGTATTTATATACACATTAATGTATTTTTGAACATTTTAGATATTCAAGATGATGAAGTGGCAGAAACTGTTTACAGAGATAGGAAGAGACGGTTACCTTTGGAACTCACGGTAGAACTAACAGAAGAGACGTTTAATGCAACAGTGGTGGCTTCTGATAGCATAGTGCTTTTCTATGCTGGTTGTGAGTATGAGCCTTTAGAGGAGGGACTGTTATGTATTAGAGGATTTAAAGTTGGTGGATTTTATTTTTGCATTCTGTATATTGCATGTGGTAGAATGACATAGCTTTCGCACTGTCCCAAGTAGACTGCACATATTGAAAGATTTACTAATTTACTAATTTAGAAAAATTGTTAATTCAAGCTAATGTTTTTAATATATTAACAGTTCTTTTTTAAAAATATATTAACAGTTCTTATGAATCTATAGGACATATATTGCTTTTACCTTCAAATAATAGCCCTTCAACTATATCCCTTGCAGTCTGAGTGCAGAAAATTAGTTGCATTTAGAATCCTCTTGAATGTTTGCACAACATTGAGTACTGTATATTAAAATATTTCTTATGAAGGAATAACAATTTTGGGAAACCCTATAAATCTATATGTTTGTTAATGTATAGGTATGGATGCTTTGGAGATATGCATATTGCAATATCTGTTGAATTTTTTATTTTAATGTAGGGCAAGCAGTATCCATGGCATTTCTGCAATCCTATATAGATTTGGCAATTAAATTGAAAGGTATGTAATATGGTATGCATGCTTATTTTCTTGATTCTAAGCTATAGCTATTTGTAAAGCTATATCATGCTAAAGATGAAGAAAACCACAGAAAATTTCACATTATTATATTTGTGTCTCCAACTTTATGTTAATGAACCATGAGTTTCAGAAATGCTCAGAAGCATTCATCTTGGTTCTTTTCATGGAACTGTCTTCAGTAGAAAGTAGAGAGCCTACGTATAAAGTACTTGTGGCCACACAGTTAATCCAGTAATCTTTTTGGCTGAATTCATTCAGCAAACATTTATTGAGTGCCTACTCTGAGCTAGTTACTATTAAATATTATTAAATAAATACTAAATACACTTAAACAAAAATGTGACAGATAAGACCCAATCTCACAGTCTAACCAAAGATCTAAGATCTCAGTGTTCTTAAAGCTATTCAGTTAGCTCCTTATGGACTGGGATATTTCTTAATAGCCAAGATCTTTTAACTGTTCTATGAAAACCTGATCTAGGGGTAGGTAACTAATCCAAGGAATAGACTTGAACTCAAAATATCTATGCCATCATTCTAGCAAAGACGTAGGGAGAGGTAGGGAGGCATGTTAATAAGAGAGAGATAATGATGGATTAGGATAATGTTTTATAATCATTTGAATAAGACAGAATGTATCATGCTTCATATCTGTAATACGATTTTCTTCTACTGTTTTTCTTGTTTTTTCTTAGCTATTCCAGTTAAATAGGCTTATTCTTTTAGCTACTTTAGGAATGTATCCACCATTTAGTTTTTTAGGTTCTTTAAATTTTTAGTAAGTTCTTTATGGGTAGGTAGTATATCTTATACTCAGTTCACTGGACTTGGCATATTGCCTTACATCGTAGAATATTTGGTATTTAATAAATTGTTGAATAAATGAATAAGCTAATAAGGTGGAGTTTAGTGGAAAATGTCTACTAGTGTACAACTTATTTATATACTAGGGACTTTTGTGAACTTAAATTAATTCTGGAAAGTCAATCCTAAATATAACATGTTCTATGGTAATAAAAACATCAGAGATTTTAAAACTTTTTTCCTCAGTTCATTTCTCAACCACATTTGATCCAACTTTTGATTACTTCATTACCTGAATGAAGAGGTGATTAAGTCTACAGATAATGTGATTACCTAATATATATATATATTTAAAGATTTTTATTTATTTATTTGAGAGAGACCCAGTGAGAGAGGGAACACAAGCAGAGGGAGAGAGAAGTAGGCTCCCTGCGGGGCCCGATCCTGGGACCCTGGGATCATGACCCGAGCCGAAGGCAGACACCCAATGACTGAGCCACCCAGGCGCCCCACCTAATATTTAAAAAAAAAAAAAAAAAAATCAAATCCTCTTACTCTCTTTCAGGTTCTCCTTTGTAGTTGCAATCTACGGAAAGATTTAAGTTTCTTCTTTTAGGTTCCCCAGCCTCATTGGCAAAAAATTAGAAGAAAGAAAAAGGAAGGGGGGAAATATAAACCACAATGAAGGAATAATTGGATAATGTCCCTGAATAATAGAATTATCCCCCCACCCATCCCATTTGTCAATACCAAATGAAAATGGAAACAGATTCCCTTATATTCTTCTCTATTAATGATTGAAAAAAGAGGCTCCCTGGCCCCTCAATGCAAGGACTCTGAGTTGTATATGTTTGTAGAATAAAAAAAAGCAGATAACCAAGCCAAGACTTGATTTCCTTTTTCATTTAGGATGTTCTTTATGAGTAACAATCCTTTTAGTAATTAGATAATCAGATAAAGGGACTGTTTCAGAAGTTCAGGGGGCTTAATGTAGAAATGCATAGCATAGGTAACTATTTTATGTCTACATTGAAGCCCATACTATAACTTTGTAAATTGGGAGAATACTGTAATGCTTCGGGCATTTAGTCCTATAACCTTTCACATTGACTTTATGGAAAAAAGCCACTGTTCATCTAAGATGATGAAGAATATTTTATACTCAGTCACAAGATGGCAGCAAATACCAAGTTTTTATACCTATCTAGTACCTAGTTAGCTGTAGCTAAGAGAATTTTTTTTTTTTAAATCTTTAAATTAGGAACACCATGGGAAATTCCTGCATTGATAAAGTATAGGGGATGTAATACTGCAGGCAACTTAGACTCTACTGGCAGACCAGCATGCAAAAGGGACCCACAAATTGAGCAGCAAAGGAGGTGGGGAAATAAGCCAATTGGAGAAGGGGTTGCAAAAATCAGGGGAAGAGTGTCCAGTGGAAGCAGTTCATGCTCATGAGAGGTTAAAATAAGAATGGGCTATAAAAATATTGTCAAGTCTACACAACTGAGTTTTCTACATTAATATTTATAAAGTGTGCATTTCCTGTTGTTTAGGCACATCCAGTATGCTGCTTACTAGAGTGAACTGTGCAGATTGGCCTGATTTATGTACTAAGCAAAATGTTACTGAATTTCCTGTTGTAAAGATGTATAAGGAAGGCAAGAGCCCGGTGTCTTACCCTGGAATGTTAGGAACTGAAGATCTCCTAAAATTTATCCAGCTGTAAGTATTCAGCTTCTCCCTAAGACTTAAATTTTGGGGTCTGTAAACCTTCTAATTCCTATACTTTGTTGACACACTTTGAATAGGTTAAGGAGGAATGAATTGAAATAACAGGATAAGGTGAAGAGAGCTTATTCCTTCACTTTGGGGGAGATAGAAATTGTGTTTAATGAGGGTGATTTTTTTTTTATTACACTAGTATTTAGTTGTCTTTATTTTGTCAGATACTTATCCTGTGGATACAGTGTTTGCCCATGTTAGTAGTATGTTTTATCTTTTTGCAAGCTGAAAAGTATCTTTAAAAATTAATTTTGAATATAGTATATTCATTCAGCAACAGGATTTCATGCCCAGTGAACATAACATCTGTCCAAGAAGCAGAAGAATATTTAAGTGGGGAATTATATAAAGACCTGATCTCCTACTCTAGTGTGTCGGTGCTAGGACTATTCAGCCCAAACATGACAACAGGTAAGTAGTTAGGTAATAGTTAAAAACTTGATTTTTTAAAAATGAATTAACATCTTTTTCAATTATAGAGAACTCAAATTATAGAATTTTGAAAATAGAGAAATTTGAAGGAAAAAATCTAAGATTATCTAGTTGTTAAATTTTGATATAATTCCTTCCCTCTTTTTTCTGTGTACCTATGTATTGCATTTTTATATATATTTTAATGTGATTGGGCTAGTACTGTGTATCTAGGTTAGTATCTTGCTGTTTTTATTTAATATTGTGTGGGTGCATTTTTTCCCTGATTAATATTCTTCAAAATCATCATGGCTGTATATTTGGATGCATATACCATAATTTATTTAACTCTTTACCAACAAATAACATCTTTTGTTTCCCTTTTTTCTTTTTGCTATAAAGAATATTTTTATTTATGCGTCTTTGTGTGGGATTTAGGTGATTTAATGGGTGTAGATTCCCAATAGGAGGATAACTTTATGTTTTCTATAAACTGTGTGTTATATGTGTTATTCATTTTTAAAAATGGGGTTTTAGTGCTTGTCTAATGAATTACTATGAGATTTTTATGTATTAAGGATATTAAGTTCTTGTCATTTTGTTTGTTATTTCCCCCCAGTTTGGTTGTTAGCTTTAATAATTTTATATCTAGCAGTTTAAAATTTGTTTTCAAATGTATTGATTTTGAGATTTATCCGCTGATTTCAGTTATAGAAAATCTCTATTGTCCTTATCAGTTAATAGTCACTTGTATTTTCTTCTTGCTTTAATTTATATTTTCCTACACTAATTTATAGTCTTCTTGCTTTGAATATATTTTTTTAAAAACTGTGATAAAATACATGTAACACAATTTACCATCTTAACGTTTCAGCATATAGTTCACTAGTGTCGAGTATATTTACATTGTTGTGCAGCTAATTTCCAGAACTTTTTCATGTTTCAAAACTGAAACTCTGTATCTGTTAAACAGCTATTTTCCTGTTTCCCTAGCCCCTGGAAACCTCAATTCTACTTTGTAACTCTATGAGTTTGACTACTCTAGGTACTGCCTATAAGTGGAATCATACAATATTTGTCTTTTATTGGCTGGCTTATTTCACTTAGCACAATGTCCTCAAGGTTCATCCATGTTTTATCATGTGTCAGAATTTCCGTCCTTTTAGGGACCTCTGGGTGGCACAGTTGGTTAAGCATCTGACTCTTGGTTTCAGCTCAGGTCCTGATCTCAGGGTCTTGAGATCTGGTTCTGAGCTCAGCGAGGCATCTTCCAGAGTTTCTCTCTCTCTCTCTCCCTCTGCCCCTCCCTGCACTCGTTCTCATGCTCGCTCTAAAATAAATAAATAAATAAATCTTAAAAAAAAAAAGGAATTTCCTTTTATTTTTTTAAATTTTATTTTATTATGTTAGTCACCATACATTACATCATTAGTTTTTGATGTAGTGTTCCATGATTCATTGTTTGTGAATAACACCCAGTGCTCCATTCAATACAAGGCTAAATAATATTACATTGTATGTATGTAACATTTTATTTATCCATTCATCTGTTGATGGACACTTGGGTTGTTTTCACCTCTTGGCTATTGTGCGTAATGCTTCTGTGAACATGGGTGTACAAATATCTCTTCAGGACCCTGCTTTCAGTTCTTTTGGATGTATACCCAGAAGTGGAATTGCTGGGCCATCTGATGGTCCTATTTTTAATTTTTTGAAGAACCACCATACTGTTTTCCCTAGTGGCTGTATCATTTTATATTCCTACCCATAGTATACAAGGGTTCTGATTTCTCTACATCCTCACCAACTCTTGTTATTTTCTGGTTTTTTGATAGTAGCCATCCTAATAGGTGTGAAGTTTTGATTTGATCATGGTTTTGATTTTCACTTTCCTAATAAGTAGCGATATTGAACATCTTTTTATGTGCTCCTTGGCCACTTGTATATCTTCTTTGGAGAAATGTCTATTCAAGTCCTATGCTCATTTTTAAATCAGGTTGTTGTTGTTGAGTTGCAGGAATTCTTTATTCTGGAAATTAACCCTTTATCATATATATGAATTGCATATATTTTCTTCTGTCCCATAGGATACCTTTCTACTCTGTTGATTTTGTTCTTCAATATTTTTTTTTCTTTTTTAAGTCTTTAACTATTTAGATATTTTTGTGCATGGTATGAGGTTAGGGGCCAACTTTATTTTGTCTGAATAGTTAACAGTTGTCCTTTTTTTCCCTCTCTTTTTTTGATTCCACCATCACCATATTAAATCCATGTCTGTATGTGTGTATGTGTGTTTGTGTGTGTGTGTGTGTATAATCTGTTTAAACATTTTGTTTTATTCACTTTTTTAAAAAATATTTTATTTATTTGACAGAGAGAGTTAGCAAGAGCAGAAACACAAGCAGGGGGAGTGGGAGAGGGAGAAGCAGGCTTCCCGCGGAGCAGGGAGCCCGATGTGGGGCTCGATCCCAGGACACTGGGATCATGACCTGAGCTGAAGGCAGATGCTTAACTGAGCCACCCAGGCGCCCCTGTTTTATTCACTTTTATCTCCCTGTCAATACCTAATCTATTCGTTTTCTTTTTTTAAGATTTATTTATTTATTTGAGAGAGCAAGCGAGCATGCAAGCAGGGGGAGGGGCAGAGGAAGAGAGAAACAAGCAGACTCTGCACTGAGCAGGGAGCCTGATGTGGGGCTCGATTATAATACATGTTGAATATATAATTGGGTCAACTCTCTTGTTTGTCTTTTGTAAATTTTTTTTTATCTTTTTTGGCTTTTGGCTCTTCCAGGTGAACTTTAATCATTTATACATATTGTCTAAACTTATTTGTATTTCTCTTGCTTGTTTTGTGCTCCACTAGTGTTTCTTTAGTCTACATGGAGTATGCTTCTTTTGGTTTTATTTTCCCCAGAGCCAGAGATGTTCTTTAAAAAAACAAACAAAAATATTTGAATCCATAAAATTAAAGACCATTTTTAATGATTTTGAGAGACTATGGACTCCAGGAAACAAACTGAGGGTTTCAGAAGGGGGTGGGGTGGGGGGATGGGTTAGCCCGGTGATGGGTATTAAGGAGGGCACGTATTGCAGTGAGTACTGGGTGTTATATCCAAACAATGAATCATAGAACACTACATCAAAAGCTAATGAAGTACTGTATGGTGACTAACATAACATAATAAAAATAAAATAATAAAATTTTAACACATTTTTTAAAAACCAAAAACAAAAATTATTTTGACTTTTATAGAAGATGAGGATGCTTTTAATTTCTTCTGTCATCTTTTTCTCTATATGGGCCTCTATAGCCTCATATTATAGACTCAGATTATCGTTATTGCTGAACTTTAATATTTTTGCATTATATATTTCTCTTTCAAAAGTTTCTTGCACTTATTTTTCCAACATTTTATTATGAAAATTTTCAAACATAAAGCAAAGTTGAAAGATTTTATAATGAACATCCATATACCTACCATCTAGATTCTACTATTAACATTTAACTTGTACTTGATTTAGCACATATCTGTGCATCTGTCCATCCTTCCACCCATCAATTAATTCATCTTATTTTTGGTGTATTTCATATTAATGTTTTTTCATTCAGCTTTGATACAGTGCTTATAGCAATTAATTTTACTTTGTTAGTTTTACATAGCATCATAGAGTATAGTGTTCTTTTAATATCACAGCTTCACTATTTTTAGACTATTTTTTTCTGGCTTCATAGGAATGCCTTTCAGTAAGTTGTAAAGGAAGGGTACATAGGGGTTTTTTTCTAACCAGTACTATTGCTTAGAATGTTATTCTCTTGCCTTTGCATATGGATGGCTTCTTGAATTGACTGTGTAACACAACCTTTAATGTTTTTTCATCACATGTTAGTTGTTTGCATTTATCTAGCAAACCTGCCCCCTTATATTTCTTTCATTTAAGATGAATTTCAAATTCTGAATAAAATTTTTTAAGGATATTTTTCTGGGAAGAGTATCCCCATATCTAGCATCATATCTACAGATAGTGGATACTGTTAACTAATTATTAAATTTTGCTTTCTACAAATTTCTGTCTAATAATTGTTCCCCTCTATGTTGTCTTCAAAATTTTTTAAAATAAAAGCCAAAATAACTTGAAAGAAATAATAAGAATGTGAATGTGTGTTCTGTGGCTTCCCATCTTAGAAGGCAAAATCATAGAGGGGATCGCTTTTTCATTTGTATTCTCTTTATGAAAAATTGTGAAGTGAATGAGTCTGTGGTTTACTCCTTTGTCTTTGCCTTTCTAATGTTTTTGCTTCTACCCGTTGACTTTGTCTTCAATCTATGTCAGGTGCCTGGTGCCCTGAGGTTGTATATTATTTACTCAGGGCTTCCTTCCAAAAAGAATTAAGGTCTTCAGATAATAAAAAGCACAAATACAATAAAATCATTAAAACAAGAATAAGAGTTAAGCTGTAAAAGAGAAGGGGATAATTGTGTAGTATACTTAGAAAACACTGCAGTTGGTCATAAAACTTAACCTTAAGCAATCTGGCAGCAATTGGAAACATGAAATTTTTGCCATCTTATCATCATTATATAATAAATGGCAATATAAAAGTTAGGATGCTGACTCATCCACAGAAAAAACTTTTCCCTGATTGTAAATGCTGAGAGGGATTTTTCATATTTTTTTATATGAGAGATATAGGGAACAGTATATTTTATGATAGTTCTATACAAATGATAAGATTTACACATAATTATCTCTTAACGAAAGTCAAAAGTATAGGGGCACCTGGGTGGCTTGTTAAATGTCTGGTTAAGTGTCTGACTCTTGATTTTGGCTCAGGTCATGATCTCAGGGTTGTGAGATAGAGCCCTGTGTGGGGCTCCGCGCTCAGCAGGGAGTCTGCTTGAGTTTCTCTCTCTCCCACTTCCTTCCCCCCCCACCCCTCCCCCATTCACGTGCACACGCATGCGCTCTCTATCTCCCTCCCAAATGAATAAATCTTTAAAAAATAAGTCAAAAGTATAATGTTAAACAACATAGAGATTGTTCTGGTATGCCAGAATGATGTAATCTGGATAGGATGCTTTTTTTGTTATTTCACTAGATTGATTGTTCTCAGACTTTTCAGTCAGGTATTAGATTCTCTTCTTTTTTGTTTTTTTGTTTGTTTTTTGCAGATATTCATATGATAGTTACTGGACTTTCAATGTCTATTGAATGGGAAAATGTATAACAATAAAAGGCTATTATGAATTCACTAACACTTTTATTTACATGTGTATTTTATTCATAAGAGCTAACTACTAACATTTATCAAGCACTTATTTTATATCAGATAGTGATTTATTTTTCATGTAGATGCTAATGATTTACAGATTAATGTGGATTCCATGAGGGCTGAAATGTCTCCTTTGTCCAGTGTTGTATCTGGCAGGTCTCTTTACTTGGAAGATACTTATTAATTACAAAGGGAAAAAAAAGTATCTTGTGGGAATAGAATTTAAAGCCCTGTAAATGTCCTGTTTCTCATTATACTTTTGCATTCCAGTTTTAGAATCCATTGCTTGAAAGAGCTATAACTATGATGGTTGCCAAGTGGAAAATTTCTGACTCCCTACCTATTCCTTCTATACACGTACTAATATAGTTCACATACTACTGTACGAGCTTTTCCTTCTCGTTTGATTTTCAGTATAGATGCCTGAGTCCTTAATTTTATTCAATGGGTTATAATTGGTTGCTATCATGCCCCTTCAATCTGACTCCTGTGTCCTTTTGACGTATCTCCATCATTCTTTGGGTATGTCCTTTTGGCACAAAATGTTCCTAGTCCCATTCCTGGAATCAGCCATTTCTCAACCAAGAGTCTAGGTTCCTTTTAGTGGGACATTGAATTTAGAAACCAAAATCTAGTGCTTTTAGTTACTGGAGTGTTCTTGCTTCTCAACTGTTGTTGGTAGAGTTAAAAAATAGATGTATGTGTACTATGTGTATACATGTATGTCTATAAATGTAATGACTCAGTAACATGTGATAGTGGGGGAAAAGCAGTATTGCTAAATTAATGTATTTTATGCAATTAAAACATGTTTATAGTTACACAACTAAGTATTGGAGGTCACCATTAATATTATATCCCAAATATATTTATTGTGATATAAGAATCCTTTTATTTAGATTAACTGATTATTTTCTTATACTTGGGGTTGCAATATATTCTGAAATATGTGTAGTTTTCACCAAGGAGGAGAGTGTGTCTGGTTTTAAATGTTCAGAGAAAAATTGACAGTCTGGTTTAGTGGAAATGGATATGTATCTAAGGTCTACAGTTTTTATTTATTTATTTAGTTTTTGAGGTCTACAGTTTTAAATGCTTCTGTTGCAGAAGTAACAGGATATATGAACAAGTGGATTTATGCAGAGCCTTTTAAAAAACATATTCATGTGGCTCAGTTGGTTAAGTGTCTGCCTTTGGCTCAGGTCATGATCTTGGGGTCCCGGGATTGAACCCCACATTGGGCTCCCTCTCAGCGGGAAGCCTGTTTCTCCCTTTCCCTCTGCTCCTCTCCCCCACTGATGCATCTCTCTTTCTCAAATAAATAAGTAAAATCTTTTAAAAAAAAGGAAACATGAGGAGAGAGGCTTCTATATGAGGGAATTATATGGAAGTAGTGTAATTTTCCACTGTTACTTGAAAAGAAGCTGAAATAGATTCCATTATGTCATTGCTTTAGATAATGATCATCAACTACTAACCAGAATTTAGTTCTGTTTTGAGAAATGAAAGTATAAGCACTCAGTCCTAATTGTTTACTTTTCTTCTCTCTCTCTCTTTTTTTTTTTTTTGAGGGGGCGGGCAGAGAGGGAGAGAGAGAATCCTAAGCAGGCTCCACGCCCAGGGCTGAATCTGATGGAGGGCTTGATCTCACAACTCCGAAATCATGACCTGGGCTGAAATCAAGTTAGATGCTTAACTGACTGAGTCACCCAGGCATCCCTTTGTTTATTTTTCTTACGAATCTTTACTGCTTTGGTATAACACAGGCTGAAGAAAATATTTTCATGGAGTAATAGTTTCTCATTAAATTCATGGTTATAAATGAGCTCTCAATGCTGCCTCCTGGCTGACTGTGCCACTTTAGTAAATTGGCTTTCCTGTAGTATTTCTTAATCTTGTGGAAAGTATGCATCCTTTTTAAAGAACAAAACTTGTGGTTACCAGACGGTAACAGTGCTGATACTCACACCGTGAATACAGTATTGACTGCTTAGGTACAGATTTCTTGGGTTCAGCATGTCCAGAGTACTAGGTGCTTTATGACTCAATTCTTCCATCATTAGTTTTCTGTTTGAACTGCCATGAACCTTCCATGCAGTGAGCTGAGTTATCGTTTGGCCTTCACTTGGCAAGAATACATCATTTTTTTGAAAAGATTTTATTTATTTATTTGACAGAGACAGCGAGAGCAGGAACACAAGCAGGGGGGAGTGGGAGAGGGAGAAGCACCTCCTGCCAAGCAGGGAGCCCAATGCAGTGCTCGATCCCAGGACCCTGGGATCATGACCTCAGCCGAATGCAAACGCTTAACAACTAAGCCACCCAGGTGCCCCAAGAATACATCATTTATATAAGTTTACCTCTGTTCTTTTCTCATTAGTCTATGACTGTTTAATTCAGACTTGCTTCTTGGTTATAAAATACACATTAACATGATCCAGAATATACTGTTATTTATGGAAATGTATTCAGAAAGCTCCTGAAATAATTTTTTAATATCTGTATCCTAACAAATGAAAAAAGACTGATACACAAATTAATCAAAGTTCAAAAGTAACAAAAACACATTACAGAAAATATGGGAAATATAAAAAGACACAAATCCCTCATAATTGCAGAATCCTAACACAGATACTGTTAAAGGACTAGAATTTCTAGTCTTCTATTTTTTTCTGTGCATATAGGCACTTCTAGATTTGTGATGATAATGTGTGCATCATTTCACATACTGCTTCTCTTTCCAGGCTATGTATAAGATAGCTGTTTCCATTTACCTTACCTTAGGAGTAAATTAAAAAGCAACAAATATTTATTCAGTAACTCTGTTGAGTTACTGATTAGATGTGCTATGATTAGAGTGCTATAAATTTGATAAATCACATTTAGAGTACATTTGTTTAGGGAACCATAATTACATTATATCAATTTACATTTCTGTAGTAATCAAAGGTCATAAAAAGAACACAGATTTGGGCGCCTGGGTGGCTCAGTTGGTTAGGTGACTGCCTTCGGCTCAGGTCATGATCCTAGAGTCCCGGGATCGAGTCCCGCATTGGGCTCCCTGTTTGGCGGGGAGTCTGCTTCTCCCTCTGACCCTCCTCCCTCTCATGCTCTCTGTTTCTCATTCTCTCTCTCTCAAATA